CCCCAAAACCCCAAAACCCCAAAACCCCATCTGACAAAAATTTTATTTTGAAAAAAAGAAGTACAAATTATAATTATTAGCGCGCAATTAATTAAACAGCATGAGCATTAGAACTTAAAGTGAATATAGTAATGAAAGCGATGTCGAAATGAATGATTCAGAAGACCAAACATCCACTAACTAAAATAAAAATGGCAAACAACTCAACAAAGATAAATCAGATCTTCAAATATTCCAATAGCACATTCCAGTAATCGGCAAAATCCCAATGGGTAATTATTCCCTCCTTTTTAAAGCAAAATATAGGATTCTACATACCATAATGCTCATAGTTTGATGAATTGAAAGATCTTATTGAGAAGCATGGTGGAAGAGTTGTAGAACAAAATGAGTGCTTTACTTATTAAATAAAGCCAGATTAGATAAAGACTGGCTTTGAAAACTTCTACAAAGGCAAAATCTACTCATCTAAGTGGATTATGACAAGTATCAAAGAGAAAAAACTTTAGAATAAGGAAGATTTCTTTATTTGTTTGAATTTAAGCGAGAAATCTCAACAGCTAAATATTTCAAAGAAAAAGAAGTATACAATAATTGAAGGAATGAAGCTGTATGAATTCATAACAAATTAGAAGAACCCTCAGGTTTAATTAAAAGCTTTTTGGTAGAAAATAGAATCTTAATTCCTTTTGCCTGAGAGATCTCCTGATTCTCTTAAAAACTTTTGGTCTAAATTTTGCCATAAAACACTAGAAGAATACCTAATTGAATGCGTTTATGAAAAGGTTGATTTTTGTTTTAATTTCAAAGAGATTCCCAATCCAGATTTCATACCTAGGTTTTAACAATAATTCCAAAATGAATTCATGAAAATTGAGGCACTAGAAAACATGAGTGAAGAAGAAGATAAACAAGCTCTTGAAAAAGCATCATAATCATACGGTATTGGAAAGAATATTGGAAGATAATTGGCAGTATTAAATCCAGAGCAATCATCAGCAAACCAATCTAAGCAAGGCTTTACTCCAAGATAAAGATCTGCTTCATTTACCAAGGAAGAATAGAAACTTTAGGATTTAGCTGCCGAAGACTTTTATATGGAAGAAAGTGCTGAATAACAATAGCCACTCTATCAATTCAAGGTCCTCTAAAAACTTGACTTAAATTAATAATCCTACACAATCAACTCATATGACCCTTCAGAGTCAGTGTATTTATCTCTTGATAGAAGACATATCAATGCCTCTTCATTAGAGTAAGAACTCGAAAATCATTTAGCCATGAGGATGAAAAAGTTTGTTCCAACAAATATGGATCTTACTGACTATGATAAAGACCTATTTAAAAAGCAACTCGATTTGGAAACAGTTAATGTAACTATTACTAAGGACCCTGCAAAAGCAATAGAATATGAAATAGAAAACTTCTATATGAGGTCAGTTGAAAGATTTCCTAATGAAGATGGCATGTTTAGACGCCTTTAAAAAGAATTGCTAGAGATAGCTTAAAAATACAGTGTGAGTGATGAAGAAATCAACAGACTCTTCATAGATGTTTGCTGCAGCAAAACGAAACTTATTGAAGTTCTAGAAAAGAAATCATTTTCCAAGTGGAATGAACTTGAGGATTTAGCTCTACAAAGAGGCACTGAAAGTAACGAATACAATTTCCTATTAAAACATAAGGGCTATGAAGAAATAATAAGAAGAAAAAAGTTCTTGGGTCTTTGAATTATTTGATAAGTTTTGCTATCTCAGCTAGGTTTTATCATTGTCTATTATAAATTAATATTTTCATTCCCAAAATTATAAGTTTTAAATAGAAAACAGAAATTAGTTAAAATTAATCAGGGGATTTGTAAATTTAAATAATATTCAAAATGGCAGAGCAAAGTAACTTCTAATTTATTATAAACTATTTGAATAGATGAAGATGACTTTAAGCCTCAAGTAAAATCTGGTTGGGGAATGAGTGGTCCATAAGGAGGAGCTGGTACAGGTAATGCTCAGCCATCATCACTAGGAATGCAAAAGAAATCCCAAGCAGCTTAGTATTGGGACAATAAGACTACAGAGTTAGTTATTCCAGAAATGGAGGCAGATGCTGGAGTGGATGAATTCACCTATCAAGTTGCTGAGCCCCCAAGAGTCGAATAGACAATGGCATCTCTAAGTGTCCTTGAAAAGGATCTAGCACTGAATGTACCATCTCTTACCCCAGATGGAGTCGACATCTCACTCTTAACTTCAGTTATAAGACCAATCGCAGATTTAATTGAAACTGATATGCATTGGGATTACCTAGGACTATAAGCAGAAATAGGTCAAAATTATAGAGAAAAATACTCGGATGAAGTCGATGGATAAGTACTTATAGAGGGAACAAGAGCAAACAATATATGATGATTTTGATATTCTATTTTAGTTACTGAATTCTTTCCCTTAAATTATCAAATTTAAAATTATTTCCTTAGAGAATTTGATTATTAGCTCCAGGGGTTTTGGGGTTTTGGGGTTTTGGGGTTTTGGGG